TTTCAAAATACCATGTGTCCCCCAAGAATGGATGCATGCGCTTTGAATAATTAAAAAGGCAGTGTTTATTTAAAATACATTTCATGTCGTTGTAAATAAAAATATATCAAATACATTCAAATCAAAATGCTGAAATATACTTAATTTTTAAAAGTCTCTCCTCTTCCTGGAATGTACTTTGAACCAACCATGGCACAGAAGTTTCAATCCTGTGTGGGTATCATAAGCTCATTTGTTTTGGCTCCTCCCAGACCCATTGCATCAAAATTTAAGGGAGAGAGACTCCGGCTGACATATTTCTAACAGGCTCCCCAGGGGAGTCTGCTGCCCAGGAAGGTCTGAGAATCACCATTTACAGATCACACACCGGCTCATTAAGAGAGCCACGATTTTAATCCAGGAACTACTGGGACTTGGCCCAATAATTGCCTTCAATGACTTCATTCATCACTTGTAGGTGGAAAAGTGATCATTAGTTCGGTAAGAAGAGGGATGGGCGGAGAATCCATAAAGGACAGGGTTTCTTGGGGTGACTTCGGGGCGCAGTCTAATCCTCACCCAAAGTACCTATTACACGAAGACAATGGCTCAGACAGGCTTTATCAGGCTTATTTCAAGTTTCTCTTGCTTTTCTATATGTCTGACGGCTCAGGAGTCATTGCTTAGAGGATTACCTCTATTTAAAACCACCCACTTATCCTTTTTGCCGTGAATTCTTTCCAAAGTATAGAAAAGAACATTTCAACATGTAAGAAGCTAATTCATTAAAGGATATTCATATTCACTTGCGTGGTGTCCTTTGCTAAGAGTTGACACTGACATTGCATCTGAGCTGTGAACCGTGCCTGGGAACCATGTATCCCCTTTCCACCCTCTCTTTCTCCCCCCACCCCTAAATTCAAAAGCTGAAATTCAGTTAGCCCGCCACTTTATTTCCACTCACCCTGTTGTATCCAACCAGCATCCCTATGATATTAATGTCATAAATGATCTCCATAGTTGAGTGCAAATGCTCTCACTCTGCATCTTCCTAGAGTGAGTAATTTCTGTGTAATCATTGTATTTGTGAATGTTGCTGAAGAATAAATAATGCAGCACAAAAGGGCTTTAACCTGGTCCCAAAACCTACAACCTGGCTACAAAGCCAGTGGTGTGTTGACTTCAAAAACAGATATCACTTCTCCATTTCCAAAACGCCCTCTTTTCTCTCAGAAAGGCTCCAATTCCATTCTGATGTTAGGGCGCGTCAAAGCCTGTGCAAGGCCTGGCAGGCATGTGACGTCCCAGCTCACCTTGCACTGTTTTCCCAGCTCCTCACTGGGCCCAAGAGGCTGGCCTTCATTTATCACAGGCCTCTCTCCGGTCCTCACTCACACACTCTTCCGGGGCATGGGGAACTGTCCTTCTCCTTAGAAATTCATTTCATGACCCCCCCCCCACCCCCACCATGCTGTAATTTACATCCCTCTTTATTCTGTAAGAAGACACTCACATCAGATGCTTTTTTATTTAGTCTTGAAGTGCTTTCCTCAGAAGAGCTCGGTGTTGGAATCATTCGTTAAGCTGTACAGACTGACTGTATTTAAGAACGTTGGTTGGTTGGTTGGTTTGGCCTACATACCTAGCACGTTGCTGAGCCTCAGGAAGGTACAGAGCAGAGGTGGGAGAAATGAGGAGCCTGGCTGCCTTCTTCATGAAAAGTTGTCAGCAGGTTGAGCGTGGCCTGTGCCACAGTAGCTTCGACGTAGCCGAGCATTGAATACCCCACAGCAAGGTCAAGGCAGGAACAACTGTGACTAGCAGCCACCTGGATTAACTGCTACCTACCTACTGCAGAGCAAAGAATCTGAAAACTCCTCATAGAATATGGAGCTAAAAGGCCATGGTTTTTATTTAAACAGATTGGAACATCAGACATAAAAAGCCTAGGCATGCGGCATGCTCTTGATGTGTCGAGTGTCTTTTAGATCCACGGTGCAGGGCCCGGCTAGCAAACCTCATACTTAAACAGATGAATGGCAAACGCAGAGTTCCTTGGAGGTGTTATTAGGAGCAGTTGTGATTCTTTAAAAACGTTGGTATTGAATTGTTCAGGTCGTGACAACAGGGCTACTAGGAACTTAGTGGAAATTTATTGGGCCCTCTTATAGTATTGAATATGGCATTTGAACAATTTCAAGTATAAATATAGGTTATGGCATTTTAACAATGTCTGCTATAAATCAGGCTGCTCTAATGAAAACGGTACAGAACAAAAAGGGGATGTAAATTACAACATGGGGGGAGGGGGGCGTCAGGAAATGAATCGCTGAGGAGAAGAACAATTTTCCGGGCCCTGGGAGAGTATAAGTTGAAGACCTGAGCCAGGAGAGAGGCCTGTAATTACATAAAGGCCAGCCTCTCTGGAGCCCAGTGAGGAGCTGGGAGGAGCTGGGAATGCAGTATGAGATGAGTTGAGAAGTTACTTGACATTGCAGTGCTGTTTCGGTGGCTGGAAAGGAAAGTTACTGAAGAACCGGCATGGTTCAGTTGGGTTTTAACAAGCTCATTCTCCTAACCACATGGAGAATTGATTAGATGGGGTTATGATTAGATGCTGAAAGATCTCTTAGGAGACTGACTGATGTCTAGGCAAGCAAAGGTGGATGAGTAGACTTGGATATAAAGAAAATGACTCAGAGATACTGGAGGTAAGACCAACAAAATTTATCAAGTATTGTGCTGAGCGAAATAAGCCAGTCAGAGAAAGACAAGTATCCCATGATTTCACTCCTATGTGGAATCTATTAATAATGAACAAGATAAACTGATGAATAAGATAGATCTAGAGACACAGAAGCATGGAACTGACTTTGGGTTCTTAGAGGAAGGTCAGGGGTGGGTGGGACACAGACAATAGTGTGGTGAAAGCCTGGGTGGGGGGTGAGAGGTGGACTAGAAGGGGTCAATGGTGAAAAGAAGGGGACCTCTGTAATACTTTTAATAATAAATACTTAAAATATCTGGGGGGAAAATACATATTCAGCAGTTTCTAAAATGCTACCATGCATAAGTGCTTTGAAAATTGGGTAGAAAAGGGAATAGATTAAAAGGGAAGGAAAGTATTTTTGAGGAAGTGAATAAAAGAAGTACAGATGACGGAACAGTAGAAGGCATATATTAAAGTGGCCGTATTTACCAAGTGAAAATAAGGAAGCAAGATTTAAGGAAGATCATTTTTCCTAAGAAACAGTTCTCACTCTGGCTGCACACTCACATCCCTGGGGAGATTTTAAAAACTAGATGCCCCGCCCCCCTTCCCTACTGCAGTGGTTCTGATTTCATTAGTCTGAGGTGGGACAGGGGCATAGGGTTTTTTTGTTTGTTTGTTTGTCTTAATTCCACAGAGGACTGTAATGAGCAGCCAGGATTGAGAGCCCTTAGAAGTACAGCTGGGGCTGTGAGGTCAATAAATCTAATCCATTAAGGAAGATTAACAGTGAGAGTGGGGTGAAGGAACTTCCCCCAGATAAGGAATGAAAGGCCCATTGGTTAAACAGAGATAGTGCCCGACTACAAGAAAACAGTTAATTTTCTTCTGTGATTTGTGTTTTTTTGTTTGTTTTTTGTTTTGTTTTGTTTTAAGCAGAGACAAATGTTATTCTCACCTTACTTCTTAGGAACACAGACACTCATACAGAAATCACACATATTTAAAAATATATCCTACTTCTAAGAGGTGATGCCTGACTGAAAGAAGAGGAAGAGGGGAGTCCCAAATGGTGCCCAGAGGCAGGGAAAAGTAAGGAGTAGCAGCGGAAAGTGGGGTGAAGGAGCCAGGGGTGAAGGAGCCAGTTATTGTTGGGGGGTGGGAGAGGGGCGGGTACTGTCACTGGCCACCACTTATACTTGGCATTTGTCTTCACTGTGCCACACAGCTGAATCCTCCCAAGACTGAGCTCTTGAATGAGCCACAGAATGAACAGGGCAGGACTAAATGCCAAGCAACTCTTCTCCTGAAGAAAAGAAGGAGAGAGAGAGAGAGAGAGAGAGAGAGAGAGAGAGAGAGAGAGAGAGAGAGAGAGAGAGAGAGCGCGAGCAAAAACATAATTCTTGGACGGAAATGAAGATTCCTTGTTGGTGCTAAGTGAATGGGTCATTGAGAACAAGAGGAAAGGAAGGGGAGGGGAGGGGAGGGGAGGAGAGGGGAGGGAGGGAGGGAGGGAAGGGGAGGGGAGGGGAGGGGAGGGGAGGGAGGGGAGGGAAGGGAAGGAAGGGAAGGGAAGGGAAGGGAAGGAGGAAGGGAAGGGAAGGAAGGAGGGAAGGGAAGGGAAGGAAGGAAGAGAAGGAAGGAAGGAAGGAAGGAAGGAAGGAAGGAAGGAAGGAAGGAAGGAAGGAAGGAAGGAAGGAAAGGAGGGAAAGGGGGAGGGAGAGAGGGAGACATAGTTTTATCATGGGCCCTAATCATTCCATTCATTTGCGTTCTGCCTGGAATCAGAACCAGCATTTAAACACTGTTATGTCATTTTTTTGTTCCACTCACACCTGCTTTGCACCTAACTCCATTCAAAGCAGCAAAGAAAAACGTGTGGTGCAATTTCCAAATCCCACCTCGGGGGAGCTTTCAGGGTCCCCACCGCCCGCCCAGGAGAGGTGCTCACAGGGGAAGGCTGCCGCCCCTAAGATTGGCTGGGATAAAATCTGGGAACCCTGCAAAGACAGAACGTGGGCTTTGAGTTTTGAGTGGGCGTGCCCACTGCAGGAAGAGAGAGAGGAAGCAAGAGAGAGCTGGGGGCTAAGGAAAGGCGGGGGGGACTAAGAGAACCCCAGACTGTGGGGACTAGGGTAGGAAAATGACTCTGGGACATCAAATTCGAAAGAGTTGAGCCCAGCTCAGAGGCAGCAACTGGCCGCCACTGGCCCCGGAAACCCTCAGGAAGAGGCAAAGGCCAGCGCGAACTACAAGTCCCAGAATCCCCCGCTTCCTAGCGCCGGCGCCGCACCCCGCCGCGCAACGCCTGCTGGGAGTCGGCCGGAGCCGCCAAGATGTCGCTGCCCAAGAAGAGAAAGATTGAGTCGGGGGGCGGCGGTGTCGGCGGCGAAGGAGGAGGAGGGGAGGGAGCCGAGCAGGAAGATGGCGGAGAGCGGGAGGTGGCCCGGCCGCGACGCCCGTGGTGCCGCCGGCAGGAGCGGGACCAGCAGTACTACGAGTGCTACTCGGACATCTCGGTGCACGAGGAGATGCTGGCCGACCGCATCCGCACCGAAGCCTACCGCCTGGGCATCATGCGCAACGGCGCGGCGCTGCGGGGCAAGACGGTGCTGGACGTGGGCGCGGGCACGGGCATCCTCAGCATCTTCTGCGTGCAGGCCGGGGCGCGGCGCGTGTACGCGGTGGAGGCCAGCGCCATCTGGCAGCAGGCCCGGGAGGTGGTGCGGCTCAACGGGCTGGAGGACCGGGTGCACGTCCTGCCGGGGCAGGTGGAGACGGTGGAGCTGCCGGAGCAGGTGGACGTGATCGTGAGCGAGTGGATGGGCTACGGGCTCCTGCACGAGTCCATGCTGAGCTCGGTGCTCCACGCGCGGGCCAAGTGGCTGAAGGAGGGCGGGCTGCTGCTGCCGGCCTCGGCCGAGCTCTTCCTGGCGCCCGTCAGCGACCCGACGCTGGAGCAGCGCCTGGGCTTCTGGGCCCACGTGAAGCAGCTCTACGACGTGGACATGAGCTGCCTGGAGGCCTTCGCCACGCGCTGCCTCATGGGCCCGTCGGAGATCGTGCTGCAGGACCTGTGCGGCGAGGACGTGCTGGCCCGGCCGCAGCGCGTGGCGCACCTGGACCTGGCCCGCGCGGGGCTGGAGCAGGAGCTGCAGGCCGGGGTGGCGGGGCGCTTCCGCTTCAGCTGCTACGGCTCGGCGGCCATGCACGGCTTCGCCTTCTGGTTCCAGGTGACCTTCCCGGGAGGGGACTCGGGGAAGCCCCTGGTGCTGTCCACCTCGCCCTTCCACCCGGTCACGCACTGGAAGCAAGCCCTCCTCTACCTGAACGAGCCGGTGCAAGTGGAGCAGGACACGGCCATCTCCGGGGAGATCACGCTGCTGCCCTGCAGCCACAACCACCGGCTCCTGCGTGTGCAGCTGAGCTACAAAGTGGGCGACGAGGAGGAGAAGGCCAAAGACTTCTCCATGGAGGATGGGCAGTGGCTTCTCTCCCAGCAGCTGCCCCCCGAGGAGGAGGCCAGGCTTTCCCGGTAGAGGCGAAGCGGGGGAGGCCACAGCAGAAAGGGAGATCCCGCCTGCAAAACTCGGGGGGCATTATGTTCTGTCTGCCTTTTCCCTCCTGGCTCCTGGAGAGACTGACTGACTGCACTCTCCCTTGTTCCTGGCGACATTTATTTTAAATATGACCCCGATGCCCCCAGCGATGAAAACAGCGTGTTTATGAGTAGGCTTTTGAGCCTCAAAAGTATGTGGTACCAAGCACTTGTATTTCAGTTTGTTTGTTTGTTTGTTTCACGAAAGAAAAAACACGTAATAAAATGTCTGTATGAAAGTTCCATGCAAAACCCTAACACCTCACACCTTCTTGAAGCCGGAAGCCGCGGAGACAGGGAAAAGGGTGTATAGTTAGAGGCCATACATTCCCGGTCTGGCTTTCCTGCCTGTCCAGGGCCATATTCCTTCCTTCTCGGAATTCCTTTTCTTCCCGGGGGCCTCTAGGCTATAGTACTGGGAGAGGGAGGAAGAGGAGGGGGTAGGTTAAATAACCCTGTTCTCACACTTACTGGTAACTAATTCCATAGGGTGCTCAAATTGTTGAACAAACTCATCGTTAAGCAGCCAGTCTAAGAAATCAAGAAAGAGACCTGCAAGTGAAGTGGTAGAGAACTTTTTTTTTTTAATTCTTGTCTTTACTGTTAAGCTTTCATCAAGAAACTGTCCCATGTATTTTCCATAATTTTATGGAACAGGCTGAGAGATGGGCTCAGAGCCTGGCTCAGGCCCTCTCCATCCATCCCCCTGGGGAAATCAGTTCCACTCACTCACTGAAATATGTTCTCAGCTGGAAGAGTCCACTTCTCCTTTAAAACTTCCTCATTTAGGCAGATCATCTCTCACTTGGCCTACTTACGGTAAATCAAATGCAAGTTCCCTTTTTAACACGAAAGTTCCCTTTTTTCTTTTTAGCTCAGCCAACTGTGAAAGTTGTGAATTCAGGGAAGTCATTTGTAATGAAGTGTGAGTCATGTTATCCAATTTTTTTCGCTGATGCTCCCCCCTCCTCCCCGTGGCAAATAAAACATTGGCGTTCTGTCTGGAGAGATGAACGAAGACGTTGAGTGTGCTGAGGGATGCTGGTACACTTCAAAGTGTGAAAGCCCCTTCGGAGGACAGCTCCGGGGTCACGCTGCGTGTAGGGATTTATTTATGTGCCAGCGGGAAACAGGTGTGAAAACTGGTCCTCTGAAGTACTCCACCAGCTTTGTTCATAACACCCCTTGATCCAACACCTATTAAAGCACTTAAGTATCATAACTAATTTGCTAAAGTTTGGTGACCACAGGAATGTCTGTCATTATGAAGGGAAACAGAAATGTACAAAAAAACAGAAGATCCTCCAGCAGCAAGCAGTGCAATCACAGCTGCTGGCCTCCACGTGTGCAGGGAGTTAGCAGCCTACGTGCATGGTGCAGCCAGAGCAAGCCTGGTGTGGTTTGAGCTGGGGCCTGAACAGCTGCTTATTTTAGGGTCAGCGCTATTGTAAGTGGGACATTTATTTAGGATTTAGGGTACAGTTTTGAATCAAGTTCTGGTGTTTATGTTTTCTGGATGTTTTGTTTTTTGTTTTTAACTTGTTAGAATAACTTTTTTGCTGTATGGGCCAATGAAATCATCTTTCAAGTTCCCTTTTTAAACATGGTTTTTTGAATATATGTCCTACAGAGTTCTTAATACCAGTATAAGCACACAAAGGGAACACTGGTTAAAACTTGGGAGAACTTGAGAAGTAAAAGGTATTTCATCATCGGGCAAAGTAGGCTTTAAAATCCCCACTGTTGCTGTTTCCTCCGAGAAAAAGGAGTTAGCATAGAAATACAGCTACTAATGCAGTTAGTCAAGAGGCAGCAGTTTAAGGCCTGGACCCCGGAGCCAGACAGCTCCTGCTGCAGCCCCAGCTCCGCAGGTGGTGTGACCTCCAGCAGAATCCCTACCTGCTCTTCTCCGGTGCTCTCAGGCCAATAGGGGAGAACAATTGGAAGGTGAGGGAACACGTTAATACATATGAGCACACAGGGCCTGGAAGAAGACCTCAGTATTTCCTGGCTGCTGCCATTGTGAGAAAGTAATACACAGGCCTGGAGCAGTTGGACAGACAAAACTGGCTGCAGGACAAGGGCTGAACATGGGTTTTGTATGGTCTTGTTTGACAGCTTCCGCAGGGCTGTCTGTGAGAGCAATGTGTGAGGGCCCCAGAGGACCTCCTAAGGAAGCCCAAGCCCTTTGGCGCCAGGAGAGCTGCAGGAGGAGGAGCTTGGGAGATGCCTCCGCCCCCAGGCGCGGTCCAGTATTTGTAGGAACCACTGCTGATTGCGTAGGGTCCTGGGAGCCGCGGGGGAGCTGCCAGCCCAGAGGAGAGGCACAGGGGGGAGATCCACCTTCTTTCCTGGAACAGCTTACATGTATGATCACACTGCCACGGCCACTGTAGCAAGCCCATGATACCCAGATTCTGCCTCCAATTAGGTATGTTAGAGGATCAGCCAGACAAATAAACTAAGGATAATGGGGTATATAGTGGGATGGCACAGGTGTTGGGGGGGCAGGTATTTATCTTGGGTTTACATGCTAAACAAACATTACAGATACTGAATTAGCCTAAGGTCACATAGCTAATTCTTGGCAGTGGAACATACATCTTTCAACTCCTTACCCCAAACAGAATTGCCAATTAAACCACATGTGTGCGCTTTAATTTTTTATTTTTTAAATAAGGACATACTGTCCCACCGGCATAGCTCAGTGGTTGAGTGTTGACCTATGAACGAGAAAGTCAGGCACATGCCCAGGTTGCAGGCTCCATCATATTGTAGGGGGGATGCAGGAGGCAGCTGATCAATGATTCTGTCTCATTGATGTTTCAATTTCTCCCTGTCCCTTTCTCTCTGAAATCAATAAAAGGACATTTGTAAAAAAAAAAAAAAAAAAAAAAAAAAAAGTGCATACCTCTGGAATGTTGTTATTTTTTTTTTTTATCTCGTAACAAATAAGAGAGGGGAAGTCCTTAGTGTAAGAGTCTCATTGAAGATCCACCTTCAGTGTATAGAATCTCAAGATGGACAGAGAGTAAGCACTCATTGAAACAAGCCCTGTGCCTGCTTCCCTCACAAACCTGATGAAATGGGGCACTTTCTGAGGTCCTCAGGCAACTGAATCCTCAACACAGGACCAAAGTAGATGAGCTCTGCCATTCTGGCTACACATACCTGGTGCTGGAGAGCAGGGAAGCATCCCTGAGGCATTCATTCAGTTCACCATTTAACAAACACCAACTATCTAACAATTCAGTCCTATGGTAAATAAGTCAGTCCTAACCTCGAAGAGCTGGGATACAGTAAGGAAATAAAATGACCTAGATCAATAATTTTCACACTTTCTTTAGCCCAGAAAGACCTCCTTCCATCTAAATGTTAACCTCTGCGAAGCAGGGTCCAGAAGCCAGCCCTCATGTCAATTCCATCCTTAAAATTTCTCCCAGGTATAAATAAATAAATAAATAAACAAACAAATAAATAAATAAATAAATATTTTTGCATAGATTATGAGACCTCAGAGGAAAATTCCTCTACAGTGTTAGTTCCAGAAATAAATCCGTGTCCTGTAAATAACTGTTTTATTTCAGCTAATGGATGTGGTCCATTGGGTGGATGGTTCCTCTCCCATTGGCTCTTAGAAAGCTGAGCCAAATTTATGACTGATTTGTGCTCTGTTTTAGCTTTACATCTGGCTCCACTTCCATACCCCAGTGTTGTTGTTTTTTTCCTTGATTTATTGCCCTTCTCACTTATAATAAATATTGCACGTTTTGTTGGAATTTATGTATCTTTGTTCTCTTCTAATACCTTTTGGCATTAAAATGCCATCTTGCTTTCCGAAATATCTGCAGAAGTTTGAGGACAAGGTGGTAAGAGAGAGGATTCTGCAATATGTCCTTCGTGCCCTTTGGAATTTGGTGTCTCACTTTGCTCAGATGAGTGGGCAGCTGATTGGATCCATCCTTTTAGCCAACCCGCAGCATTTTCTGTTTGTAGAATCAAAATTTCTGATTGCGTGGAGAATCCTGAGACAGGTAGACCATGCTGAGGAAACTTAGATGTCCTGCAGCATCTTTCTAAACCTAGAATAAACCCTGGTCAAATCTTAACCACAACAGTCAGGAACATGGAAGACTGCCGAGCCTGTTCCAAAAATGTATCAAAATCCTTTCAAGTGATGATAAGGAGGAAGACAGTGCAAGGAGACTAAGTCTCACACTATGGTGCATGTTAGTATGGAAAAAAAAAAATGTTTGCAACCAAGAATACTGGATCTAACTAAAACAATGACAACCAGTTTACTTAGACTTCAACCCATCCACTCTTTGACAAGTAGGTGTCCACCAATCTTCTCTTCCCCCCTCAGCCCCTAGTGGACAGAACCCCACAACATGGCCAAAAAGCCGCTGAAGAAATTACAACCCCATGCCTTCTCCAGTCTATGCCAGGAGATCATCGCTGGGTTGGTCCCTGTGGGGTTAGCATGCGTCTGCATTTCTCCCATTGGGGTGGGAAGCAGACAGGCTGCTCTCTAAATCAGCGTTCTGAAAGGCTAAAAGCTTGTCAAGGGCATGAGTCATGAAGGGCTACGGTGCAGGGCAACAGCCAGAGTGAGGCTACATACATCTTCTCCCAGAAGTTTACTGAAAATATTTTGAAAATCCATTTATTTTAACAGCACATTAGACATTAGGGAAGTAATGCATGCTGATTATAGCAAATTCCAGATGACAGAAACGTGGGAGAATAAATAATAGATCACCCATAGGGTCACCCCTAAAGTATTGTATTTTCTATTCCAACTCTTATGCATGCTTGTTTTTGAACTTCATAAAAAGTATATCATGCTGTCTTCTGCAACCTTGATTATCTTCATTATAACACCCGATGCTTTATAGTACAAGCACACCTATTATCACCTGAAATTAGTTTGTTCCTTTCTTGATTTCTATGCAAATCTACATGTTATGGAGCATAGAATCCTCTTCTCTCTGCTGCACTTAATAAATTTGTTCCTTAATGAATAAATGTTAAATTAATATGCTCATACATGCTACTTTACATACTGCTATTTTCACACTTTTAGGGTTGATTTCTCTAAGTTTTTTGCTTATTTTAAATTTTAATAAAGTCCAATAGATTGCCATCTGAAAGGCTGTCAAAATATACATTTCTGAAAGCCTGTTTCTTTATATTCTCACTCACCTAGATTTTTTAAATCTCCTTTTAAAAATATCTTATGACTAAAAAAA